TTTTATGGAAAGTAGGTAGTTATGTCTCTTTTTATAGGAAAGATAATTGCTGCCCTAAAGCTAAATGACTTGCTTCCACAGATCTGCTTGGAATAGACTCAGCCGTTGGTATATTTTGAAACATTTAACAGAAATTATAGTATTTCCTAAATATCACAGCTATGTTTTAATGTTTGGTTGCCCTGATATAAATGAAATAAGTTTTGACCTAGCAGCATGAAAAGGAAAGATAAGGAAAGCAAAAAGAACGGCTGGGAGGAGAATGGGTTTGTATTTCCAGTTGATTTAAGGACACGCAGTAAGTGGCAAACTTTCAAAACTCCTTATTAAATATAAAATCTTTGAAAAGTCTGGGCCCTGTGGATCTGTGTGGAGCCCCACAAAAGCCCTGCAGGGTGAGTGCAGAAGCCTTCACCTCTGTCACTCAGCAGGGTTACCTGGCCCTGAGCAACGCACTCGGTTACCTGTGCCTATGGTTATTCTTTAGAGCAGCTGTGATAAAAAGCAATACAAAAGCCAATACCATGAACGCATTACAAAGATTGACAAGTATCAACACTTATTCCACTCTGAGCAAGCAGCATTTTCAAAGCAGCGAGGAATGTTTCACCACACATTTGGGCAAGCACGGTGCTCACAATGCCAGCTCCCCAAGATTTAATCTTTGCACATGAATCAGCCCTGCAAATCTTCAAAGCAATACCCTCTAGTTTCCAAACCTTGAGTCAGTAAGACATGCTAATGAACTAAAAGATATTATTTTACCAAGGCAACGCATAGGAGGTAGATCCTCCCATGATGCAAGTCCCTCCCTGTAACACTTCTATGCCAGCCTACAAAAGTCACTCACCGGGCTCTGAAGTGCCACATGCAATAGATGTATGGCAAATAATAAAGCTAGAAAGACCTGACTTGAAAATATTTTAAACATGCGCATCCAGAGTAGCATCCAAAATCCCATCTAACCTCAAAATGCCATGTACGTGCTGACCAAAGTCTATTTGTGAACGGAGAAAAAGGCACGGTACAACTAATGTGGAGAAGTCAGGATGGTGACAAGGTTCGTGGGGTTGGTGCACTTCATCAGCTAAGGTCAGGACAAAGCTCTGTGCCCTGGAATTACTCGTCACTCCTTGCCATAAAGGATATTTGTGTTTCTGCGCTTAATCTGCTCATGTTTTTCTCTTCGTTGACTGGTTTGCTGCCAGTATGTCAAAATGATCTCTAAATGACGGTGAGTCACTGCGGAGATCCCTGGAGCAACAGCCTGGGAAAGTCTTGGTCTTGCTCAGAGCAGGCATTTCAGGAGACGTTAACACTGATGGCTCCCTGACTGCAGTGATGTGCAGGGTTGTTCCCATCCTGGTTATTGCTGGAGTAAGAGACACCCCAGTGTTGAGTAACCTATCTCTAAAACATTAAATTAGTGCTGTTTCCCCAGTGAGGTTATGACTGAAAGCTTTAGAATTGCCGGTCACATCATGTCAGACAAACCACAAATTTTGGCTCTGATGTTGTACTGTGTTTTTGTCCACCGCTTGTGGGAGGGTTGTGCCAGGGCATTTGCTGCTCTGACGCTGTGGGGGTCATCAAGTGGGCTAGGGAGCCCATTTGGCTTCCTGGGAATGGGATGAGGAATGGGAAGGAGCTGTGAGTCTGTCAGAGCTGAAGGCTCCTCATAGTGACCGCTTGGGATCCATCCCAGTGGTGACTCCATTCAGTTTGAATTGAGGCGTGTTTGGAGGACAAAACTGTTGTTACAGACTTCACCAACTCTGGCTTTTAGGCTTTCTTTAGAAGCTTTTAATGCCACACACAATCGCACCCATCCCATCCTTTCCAAGGGTGTCAGGGAGGGGATCTGGCTTGATCTGATCTGAAAGGACAACACATCTATTCCCCATTATAAAACCAAGCTCAGTTCCCCCTGGCAGCAAGCTGTCATCAAAGCTACAGGAGCCCTGAATTCACCCAGAAAACTCATCCCTAGAATTGTATTTTCATGCTATAAATTATTCATTTGTTTTTGCTGCTGACTCATACGTGCTAGAGACCAAACCAAAAGTCAGCTTGAAAAGGATTAGCATGAGCGTTTCTTAAGAGTCACTGCTCTTGCACCTATTAATTTGTGAATATAACTCTCACTGCTAGTTCTATAAACCTGTCTCCTGTGATTTTACATGCTATTATTTAATGCTTATATGGTAAACCCCTCAGGAAAGGCAATGTCTCACTGCTGTGCAGTATCTGTCCCTTTAGGGTGTCCAATATAACTGGAGCATTAAACAGTTACTGGAGTTTACAGACTCCATAATAATGAGTCCTTGAGTGCTAATACAGAATTTTCTGCTGATTCCCCATAGAAGTGTCAAACCTGTCCAGGAGTGGCCAGGAATTCACTCACTCCTGTCCATTATTTTTACTGATTTATCAATACAGCTCCTTGCTGCTTGTTTCAGGCTTAGAGAGACCCAACTCTCCATCCTGCAAAAAAGCCTTTCTCTGCAAAATGGGATAAAGCATAGGAGGAATTCACTTCAGGCACCCAACTTAGGGCTATTCCAGACAGCTAGAACCCCTCTGCAGCCCACAGAAAAGGAGTCTTTTGGACCTCCAGCCTCTGGCTGCTGTTCTGCACTTTTTGGAGGAATGTCCCACTCTCTCCACTGACTGCAATGGCTGGATTTTAAACAGCTTGGCAGGTTTTAGGTCATTGCATCACAGACCCCTCCAAGCTCCCGCCCTTGCAAAGATGTCTCTGCCTGCTGTGGTGGATGATTTGGATACTTCTCTTAATTTCTTGGGTGATCGTTACAGGAACGAGCCCAGGACAGTAACCAGTCAGCATAGATGCTTGTAACTGGCGATGGTGTCACACCCACAGCATGGTGCCTCACCATCCTCATCTACTTTGGGGCTGGCTGGAGGAAGCATCACCTTGAGATAAGGATGGAGGATGATAACAAACCCACAGTCATTTTGGGTTGCTGAAATGACAGACGCTCACGGAGGCTTTGGTTGTAATAACCATGGTTATGAAGGTCTTGGCAGAGACCTTCCACTCTCCAGACACAAACTCTCCAGTCTTTTTCTCCTGACCTATGGATAAGGTCCACAACTGCTGCTCATGGCCCTGCCAGGTGCAGGATAATGCAGTTTTCTGAGCTGGTTTTTGCTCTCTGCTTTGGCAGCATGGAGCACTGAGCAGTGTGTAGGCTGAGCAGCAAACATGCATTGCTGCAGTTCACTCCTCTCGTGCTTGCTTACACCCTGGCCAATTTAAGCCCTGTCCTTTATGGCATAGGTTATGCTTAAATCATTTGGTTTGGTCATGAGGAAGCTCTAGGCAACACTTATCTGCGTTGTTCTAATTTTTTTCCACAGAATAAAGGACTTCAAAGTACCTTGGTGTGATTAACAAGGTGTAGATGCAGGGTTCTATGTAATAGCGTTAATGACGTGATGCTGCAGTTTTAAGTCCTGATAACTAGCAATTGTTTCACATTAAATCATGATCTTATCATCCTCCTAAGCAGACCCTTGATAGCTCTGCGGGTCAAGGTTATTTTCTTTGCCACAGAAGACATTTTTTCCCTCTGCCATACTGAAATCAAAGTCTTAGATTTGGTCTTTACATGGTGTAAATTTGTTCTATCAATTGAAAAGATACCTAAGAGGATTACCCTACATAAAAACTGGGCTTACGTTGTTTAAAAAAAGATTGAAAACCAGCCTTGCAGTGTGCTAAATTAAGCTCTCCTAATTAAACATATCCAGTACAAATGATACAAGGCCTCCTTCTCCGGTAATAACTTGACTTATTATTTCATTGTGTAAAGAAGTTCTAATTCTTCATAGAAAAGGAGATCCCGTGGATTTTAGGCTCCAGCTCTGCTCCTAGCTGGAGGATTTGGATTTCTTCAATGCATTGAACAAGGGATTCAAGCCGAAGTTTTCCAAATCTAATGAGGAATTTCGCACACTCCCTTTGCAAAGAAACTTCTTGTGTTGCCGGCTACAATTTGCGGTCACCGAGAAGCCCAAGTCAGTTGTCAGATGGATATCACCCTGTTTGGGGCTCACAACTAACCCCAAGAAAGATAATTACAGCTGCTGGAGGAAATGATCCAAGTAACAACATCTGATTTGCAAGTAAATAGGATAATCACCACAAATAGGTCTTCTAGCCTCCAGGCAGGCGGAGGAACTGTATAAAAGCCCTTGCCGCTCCAGGCTGTTTATCTGCTTCTCCTGGCTTTCTCTCCAGTGGATCAAGTAAGTCTGCCTGGGCTTATTCTCTTGGCTATTGCATCTTTAGGGTAAATTTTTGCTGTGCAGCTTTGTTGTTCTCAGATTTGCCATAGCTTTTTGCTGTTAACAAGTCGCTACTGCAAGCAGTTTATTGTGGTCTTTGACAGAGGTGGATCTGGAGAGGCAATGTGGGATTGAAGACTCAAGTAGTTTTTAGACTTCTATTGAGTATATTGGGGTTTAAATTCTTTCTTCTGCTTTGTACAGCGCCGCTATAGAAATACTTTGATAGTGAAGATTATTTTTAAGGATGGTTATTTAGCCACATTCTCATCAGATGTTCATGCTTTCATATGCAGCTACAGAAGCTTAAAATGTTAACCCTTTTTCTCCTTTCCTGCATACATAGACTTGCATCTCCTGTGTGCGTTGAAGGTCTGGGCAGGTGGAAATACATAAAAAGACTCAGTTTTCAGGGTAGGGCACAACTTTGCCCTAGAGAAAGAGCTCCATAATTAAGGCTGAAACTAGCTTTTCTTTTTTAGGCTGGTTATTTACAGAGAGCAATTTATTCACACGCCTTAGCAGAGCACCCAGCTGCCCTGCAAGCTTCTCTGTTGTACGTTCACCCCGGGTGCAGGAAGGGACTGGGGGGGGGTGACAGCCTTAGCTGCAAGGAGCTGTGTCCCCTTTGCAGGGGATCTGGGGTTATTCTGATCTCCTCCCTGTGTTTCAGACCTCCCAGAGCCATGTCTTACATTGGGGACCTGTGCCTCCCGTTCGGCAACCAGTGTGAGCTGTCCTGCAGCCAGCCCTACACCAATGCCTGCAACGAGCTGTGCGTCACATCCTGCAACGACTCCAGAGCCGTCATTTACCCACCACCCGTCTTCCTGACCATGCCGGGACCCGTTCTCAGCTCTTGCCCTCAAAACAGCTTAGTGACCTGCGGTGTACCTAATGGTATTTGTAACACACTTGATTACAGGGGCTCTGAAAATGGTGTTGGTCTGAGGGGCTCCCTTATCTATGGGGGTTCAAATGGTCTGGGCAATGGCTGCAATTACACCAGGTCTTGCAGTACCGGATTCCCATTGCAGGGGAGGGTGAATTATACCTCCCAGCGCCGGTACAGCCGCGGAAACTGTGGGCCATGCTAAATGCTCACTGCACAGGGCAACCAGGGTGTGGAAAAGGGGCTTTTAGGTAGAGCTGAGCAAACTATATAACCACACACACTCACATAGATGGGGGAAAAAAGCAAAAAGAAAAAAAGATTTAGTTGAGGTCCAGTGAAGAAAAACAATTTCTCAAGGAAGAAGAAGAAGAAAAAAATCCGCCTGGAAAACCATCCTTTGAAAAATCTCAACTTTAAAATTTGAAAGCAGAGAGTAAAAGGAACTTTTTAAAGAGATTTCAAAGTGAAACAGTTCAGAATTATTATTTTATTTCTCCTTTTCAAAACTCTTCTGCCTATGTAGATTACTATTAATGCAAATTTCCATTGCCCTGAGGCTCCATCTTGGAGCAGATTTGCTGTTGATTAGAAAAAAAAAATAGAGCCAGCTCAACCGACAAGCGTATTTTCCATTTTATACTTTAGGCTTTGGGCATCTTCTGTTTCTATGCATGTATTGTACTGTTCAAGGGGGTGGGCTGGATGGTCAGTCACAAAAAGATCTGTGCACTGCAAGTGTTGAGGTGTCCTCAATACTCCTGAGGTTAAACCGTGTTCTGTTTGATATGTCATTGGAATCTGTATATTTTGTGGCCTTCCCCATCACTGCAGTACAAGAGTAATGGAAACCTTGTCTTAGTGTAGTCTGCTTTAAAATGAAGCTATTGTAAAGGGGTCTAAATATGACATTTAACTCAAAAAACACAGCTGTATCAAGGAATGTAGACAATCTTGTACCAAACTTTGTGATATTACGTGGCTTGAAGTGTCAATATTTATTCCCTGTGTTATTGCAACTGTTAGTTCTGCTTAAATTAAACGCCGTATTGCACAGCACTGACCTGGTATTCGTCTTGCTTCAGTTTTCTACTTCCCTCTGTTTCAATGAAAAGATTTCTTTTCCTCCTGTGTTCCCCAGTTTCTCTTGCAGATGATACTTTAAGTTCCCAGTAGTCACCAAAAGGCTGTCTTCTTCTGGTCACGGGTACTCAGTTCCTTTGGAAATAAGAGGTTTAGCCCTTCAGTTTTAGCAAAAAATATAAAAATAATGCTACATCCATACCCACAGCACAGTGCACATCACTGCCGCTGCACAGTCTGGGTCCAGCTCCATGCAGAAGCTGAAGCCAGGGCTTTTCTGGGACAGAAATGGAAATCTCTTCCTAGCACTGGCTTTTGCAATTAGGAGAAGACTTTAGGCAGCAAATATGCTTTAAAAAATGTAGTGAAGATGCTGAGGGCACCTCCTCTCTAAGGAGAAAACCAGTGGCAGGATGGAGATAGCCCAAACAGTCCAGCACGGCTGTTTAATCCCACCCCTTTCACCACAGATCCTTGCAAAAGATTTTGGGGATTGCCACATCTCAAGGATGAGCGGGCAACACACACTCAGCATCCAGGAGGCCTTGTCCTTTGCTGTTGGTTAACACCCAGGGGAGCCTGGGTCTCAAATGAGGGATCACTTCTGCATCATTGTCCAACAGTTTTTAGGGTAGGAGGAAAGGAAACCAGAAGGCGAATATTGCGATGTAATATAACCTTTAATGCAAAGGGGACAAGGACTTCATAGCAGCAGAACATAACAATCCAGAGAGCACAGGATACATTTGCAGGGTTTCTGGGGATGGGGTTGTCTTCTTTGAGGCTGCAGTTTGTGAGATGAGCTTCTGTCTTCATTGCATTTGCAGCATTTTAGGGTCAAGTTTGGTTTTCACCTGTTTGGGGTTGGTTGGTTGTTTTTTAAATCCCCGACTGTGTGAAACAGGGTAGCTCCCAGAATTAAACTGGAGCTTTGAGAAGATTTTCCTGCTATACCTCAAAAGCCATGAAACATCAGTCCATACATCAAGAAAGGCCCAAATAAACAGAATCTAATTTGCACTGATGCTTACTCTTCTACAAATGACTTGAATTTAAACTAAGAATTTTTCTATATTTCTCGAATAAATAGCCTCTCAGACACAGGGTTGGGATTTCATTAGCAGACACCTAACTCAACAGGAAGGGAAAGGCAGTGCCTGGGCTTGTTTCTCAGGGTGGCTGAGCATGCCCAGCTCCTGAGGACGCCTGCTGCATCCCTGTACGCTGCCCCTTGGAAAGCCATGCCCCGCTGCTCACCCATGCACTGGGATTTGCTCTGGTCCCTGCTGGGTCCAGCTCCCCAAAGAACCCCTGTGTGGCTTAGCAGGGCCCGCAGCTCCCACGGCTGTAACTTGTGTACCTGCGGGAGTAGCAGGGGTAGGAGTACCTGCCCCCCAGGGACACACCGCAACCCAAGGAGCTCTGGGCATCCACAGAGCTCCCATAGCCAAAGGAGCTCCCATAGCCAAAGGAGCTCCCATAACCAAAGGAGCTGCCGATCTCCAGGGGGGCTGAGGTGCCCACGATGCTCTCCTGAGGGCAGGAGCTGAGGATGGGGCCTGGGAAGACGATGGACACGGGGGGTGGGCAGACCACGGCACGGGAGTCCCCGCAGGAGGTGACGCAGGGCTGGCTCCAGGCGTTGGCGTATGGCGCAGGGCAGCTCACGTCGCAGGGCGAGTAGGAGCCGTAGTTGCAGACCTGCTTGTAGGAAGACATCTTTCTGGCTGGGAGTAAGCCTGAAACACACAGAGAAGGAAGAGTGTGGGTCACTCATTTAGTCAAACCATACAATATTCAGAAAACAACTTTTCTATAGCTAAGTGCAAAGTGTGATTGCAATTAATAGGCAGAAATACTGCAGATTAGATAACCTGCTAGAAGCCAGCAAAGCCTCATTAAGGATCGGTGAGGATTAACCTAGCAATATTTATATAAAACTCTTCCTAAAACTGTCTTCATTTCCCAAGCACTCCCAGGCACAGATAAAATCCTTCAGCATCCTTTCTCTGAAACATGCAAGCTGCTTTTTTAAGTCCCATGCTCTCCATATAAAACCCACACCCTCCAAAGCCTGCTAAGCCAAAAGAAGTTAGAGAATCTTTTTGTATGAAAATAACATTATTCCAATAACAGGCAAAGACATATTCAGTGCTCAGACGTAAGACATCAAAACTCTTATTAAACTCATAGAACAGATTTAACCAAAGTCAGACTTACTCAGTTCACCACGAAGGAGAAGCCAAGAAGAGTGGTTTGAAAGCTCTCTGCTCCGAGCACTTTTATACGGTTCCTCGGAGCACCTCCAGGTCTGAGCCACGCTTCGGGTATGTGGTCCTTCCTAGTTACAAAACAGATTTTCCTGCATTTGTCACGTCAACGGGTGGAGGAATCTTTGCATATTGTTTGCTGTGAAGCAATTATCCATCGAATGGTATCACAGCCATGGCGCAGCCTACGGAAATCTTTCATCTCAAAATAGGGCCAGCGTTCACCCTTAGTTTCTTCCCACTCACTGCAGAAATTAACTTCCTTCTGCCATTTGTCCAAGCTTCAAAGCACATAACTCAGAGATAGGTCAGAAAAACAGAGGACTGCTGATTTGACAAAATAGGCTTTCTTCCTTCTTTAAATAACTTGTTGATTTTGTCACGCTTGGTGCAAAGGGTTTCCAACCTTTTAGTTGCAAAGGGAGATGAAACTTAGAGACCTTTGTGCCAATCTTAGCACAATCCCATTCTGCCCCCTTTCTATCCCAAGTCTCCTTTTCTTCAATAGGTGAAAAAGATTTCTATAGACCACAGTCCTTGGTCCAAAACTCATTTGAGGAACCACATCCCTGCCCTTTCCTATTTATTATAAACAGAGGCATTACTCCAGTTCTGTTCCTGAACCTACTAGGGAAACTACAACTTGGAAAGCACAAAAATAACCTATCAAGTCTATACCCAGGGTAGGGTGAAGACTTCCTGGTTAAGGCTCAGTGGTCTGGATCAGCATCACCTTTGCCAAGAATTTGGGGAGAGGTTTTGAGATGCCCTCGTTGTCCTGTGTGTGTTGGGGCGAGGACAACCCACCCTCTGCCCTGGCTCCAGTGTGGACACTAATCCTTCCTTTCACCATACCCAAAACTACTTGGTTTCGTTTATTGGTTCCTGACACTGGTGACTGTCTCAGCTCTTTATTTTCATGGTATCTGGGCGCCAACCTCGTTTACAGAGGTGAAGAGATAATAGAAATATAATTATCATTAATAACACTGACAAGTACAAGACATGCCTGAGATCTCCTCCCAGAGGCTCACTTAATTGCCAAGAGATGTTTGGTAAATTATTTAGCCTCTGTCTTAATCATCTCTTCTAGAAATCATCAGTAGTGATTTCCCATTTCACGTGGGTGTTACCCAGGCTTGCACGGAGCAGCCTTTTTACCTTTTGGGAAAAATGTTTAATATAGCGTGAAACTGCAAGGTGGAAATGTTAACTTGGAGGCAGAAGAAATCAGATGAAAATTTGGCTGTGGTGTGCACCCAAAGTGTGCTGGAATCCGTGAGATCAATGTAAATGTAAATGAAAACCCCCAGGATCTGCCGGACCTGGAAGGCAGCAGCAGGGAGTCCTCACATTGGACTCTCCAAGTCTTGCAACACGTTCTCCTTGGTCCTGAGAAATACCTCGGGAATGAAATCCTTAAAAAGCCAGATGGATCATAGTTAAGGTTGCTGATGCAACGCTAATGGTCAGCTGAGTTAGGGCGTGCTCTCCAGGAGATGGTGGAAGGATGAGAGATGGTGAAGGGCATCCATAATCTGGATATATACTGGTATTTTGTTTCTGTGTTAACAAGGCAGATACAACCCTATAGAAAGACTGGGAAAAGTGGCCTTCTGCAGGTCTTTAAGATGCACACTCTACGTGCTGCTGTGACTCTTGGAGGTCTGAGGAACGTGCAGGGCTTAGTCACAGTTTCTGCTGCCAGGGTGGCAGAACAGTGGGGTATAGGCAAAAATAAACTGTATTCTCTGGTTTCATCAAATCTTGTGCACTCAGCATCTTCAGGAGGGCAGGTCTACAGCAGGCAGGGGCCTCCTGAGCTAGGAGTGACCAATCTCCCTTCTGAAAGGAGTGCCTGACCTGTGCTAACCACTTCTCCTCCAGAGCAGGCACTTGTGAATCATGATCTCCTTTTCTTCATCCTCACCCAACAGCCTTCTTCCTGCTCAGACTCCGGAAATGCTCTCAATCTTTGGAAGCCCTTTTAAATCCTTCCCTGGAAATCACATTTGCTTTGTGATCACGTCAGTTTAGTTGCTGCCCATTTTAATAACTCCCATCCTTATTTCTCAATTTTGATCTTTTCTCATGTTTCAAGAGAACGCAAAATCTTTGTTTTTTCACTGCCTTAAACACAACCACTCATCTGTACAACACCCAGAGGAATTGGGTAATTTTTATTGTTGAATTCTTGATGGGATTATTAAAAGACTGAGGCTAAATACAGCTCTCAGGCACAGTTGTTGATTCAGTGGGAGAGCTGGGAGGAGCACTGCACACCACGGCTTCAGTCTTTCATCTCCTGCACTGCGGCACTGAGTCAAGGACCATTGTTTGGAGAGCTACAAGAAAGAAAAATAGGAGATTGTCCAGCTCAAAGGTGCTGACAACCTAAATATGCATCTCCAAGATGTAATGGGGGCAAAAAATACTGTCTACATAATGCAGAAGAAAAGCTCTTTTACAGGAAAGAGAGGCTGTGCAATCGGTACCCCCAAACATAACTGACACCGCATTTCTGATGTGTCTCAGCTCAGAAGAATAATAGGGCAGGGACATGGTGGCTAACACAGGTAGCTGAGATTTAATCACGTTATTTCTGCACTTCTGTTTCTAAAGAATGCACGTTGATGTATGAAAGCTTCAGGATTATTAAAGGGTATTCTCCAAGTCAAGACTGACCATACTACAATACTTCTGCCTTGGTTCTCAGCCCAGCTATGTTAGTGGAGAGCTGGACATGATTTCACAAGTTTTATATGTAACTTATTGGTTAAGTTGTAAGAAAGCAACATAAACTGAGAAACGAATCTGCAGATTCATCGCAAAATGAGTCCGAGCTCCCTTTACTCCCAATGGGGTTATAATAAAGATGGAAATCTGCTTCCCTGTTTGGCATGCAGGACATCTACAGGGCGTGATGTAGATGTAAAACCGTCTAAGGTGGAGGTTCTTAGGAGAAACAACACGCAAACATCTGCCATGATTGACTGACATGTGCACAAAAGTGCATGCGTTGATTTGAGGGACAATGAGTACAAAGGAGGACAAGAAGGGTTCACCTCCCCCAGGGCAAATGAGAAACCGTATATAAGCTCTTGTAGCCCAGAGCCTTCAAACCACTTCTCTTCAAGCCTCATTTCCCTTCTGCTCTTCAACCAAGTAAGTCGGGGTCTTTGCGGGGCAGGGGAGAGTTTGTGCTAACGCAGAGTTTAATTTACTTTGAAGAAATTCAGATAAGGAGCATTGCAAGAGCTATTTCAAGATGTGAAACAGAGTAATAGGAAACAGAGTAAATTGCATTTTGCTCTCTCTCACCTTCAATTCTAAAAATATTTACCTATGGCACTTGCTCTCTGTGTGTGTTGCTTCACTGTCACTGGCTTGAATAAATGAGGGTTCCCCTTTGCAAATGCCCCAGCATGGTCACCCTTGACCCATGCTGTCCCCTCTCTGTGTGTTTCAGGTTTACTCCCAGCCAGAAAGATGTCTTCCTACAAGCAGGTCTGCAACTATGGCTCCTACTCTCCCTGCGACGTGAGCTGCCCGCAGCCCATCGCCAACGCCTGGAGCCAGCCCTGCATCACGTCCTGCGGGGACTCCCGTGCTGTGGTCTACCCACCCCCTGTGTCCATCATCTTCCCAGGCCCCATCCTCAGCTCCTGCCCTCAGGAGAGCATCGTGGGCACCTCAGTCCCCCTGGAGATCGGCAGCTCCTTTGGTTATGGGAGCTCCTTTGGCTATGGGAGCTCTGTGGATGCCCAGAGCTCCTTGGGTTGTGGTGTTTCTGTGGGGAGCAGGTACTCCTACCCCTGCTACCCCCGCAGCGGTGGGATGTACCGCCCTGCTAAGCACTGCAAGGTTCCTCAGGGTGGCAAGATCCAGCAGGAACAAGAGCAAATTCACTACAAGTGAGTGCGCAGAGAGCACAGCTTTCCGAGGGGGAGCAAGATCCTCAGGAGCTGGGCATGCTCCTCCATCCTGAGAAACAAGCCCAGATATTATACATTTATATTAGATGTCTGCTCGCAATGTTCTGGCTTTGTGCTCAATCCCTTTTTATGTTGCTATTGTGTAAATATAGCTTAATTCCTCCGCGTTGTTCTCTGCAGTATTGTTGTGGTCCGATAAATCCCATTTGTCAGCTCCAATAAAATCCTTTCTGCATCACAAGATCACGTTTTCTGCTTTTGTTTGTATGGTTTCTAAAAGTGTAGCCCACTGATGCTAAAATAATCCTCAACAACTAGTCTCCTGCATTATTTAAGGTGTTAAAAGGAAATCCCAGTTCTTGATGCGTAAACTGAATGTTTCATAGCCATGGATGTCACACAAGGACTATGATTTTGCTGTGTTTGGTAGCCTTGAGATCCAAAAGAAAATCTGATGGAGGCACAGACAAGGTGAACATCACCTCCGTCCCCTATTCCCTGCATTCTGGTGATG